TATATGCGTCCATTCCAGATAAGATTTCTTGTGTTATTTCATTACAGCAAATAGTGGGATCAGCTGTTTTAAAGCAAACCTCTTGCCATGGAAAATCCAGGTAAAACTGTTTTAGGTCATTCCATTTTGCCGATTTATAGTGCCACATTTTACGAGGAAGTGGTTGTAGCTTTGGTGGGATGAGCATTTCGCACTTTGCTATTATAAGTTTATGATCGGACGAACCAAGTGGAGCATCTACTTGAATTGTGTACGAGTCAGGATTGGTGGTTAGGAACAATAAATTATTACACAGAATGCATACTCCTCTCTTCTTCAATTATAAGTTTAAGCCATTTCACAAACTAGACTGGGTAATTTTAGTTCATTTTTGGGTAGTAGTCTTTTTGTTATAGGGACTGGTGTTGAATAGTAATAAGTACTCAGTTACTTTGTTCAATTACCTTTAAGAGTTGTTATAATGGTGCCACCAGCAAATTCCATAAGAATACACTCGGTGTCATTATTGACGAAAGTCTCAAAGCTAATTGAACAAGATATACTAACTTAAATCAGTAATATTTGCTGTTGCTACAGTACTACAATATTTAAACAAGCATTTTTCGTTTTTAGAATTGCATGTTACCCTTAAGACTGTAAGTGATAGGCTGAAAGAAAGGGAAATTTATTACGGTTCCCAGTCAAGTTTAGGCAGGGTTTTGCCCACATTAGGATTTACCTTTAGAAAGGATGATCCAAGAAGAGCCCTCACGGAAAAGCCTGATGTGAGCCACATGAGAAGAGTTTTTGGGTAGAAATTTATAAGTACTCTATAATTTTATTATTGGAAAATTTGAGTAGAAATTTTAGTACTGTATAATTTTATTAATGGAAAATTTGAGTAGAAATTTTAGTACTGTATATTATTATTGGAAAAATTTGGGTCCTTTTATTTAAAATTAAATATATATAATATGTGTGAAAATACTGCAGTTGTTTCTCTCTTTTGGAAGTAAACCCCCTTCAGCATTCAATTCTGTAGCTACCCAAGGAAATAACTAGCATCAATAAACCGCTCGCTTATACCATCTAACCTTTAAAAATCAACAGAGTACTTGGGTGGCTAGCTACAGCAACAACTATTAGAAAATATTACGTTTTGTTCTATTACAGATGTTTAATATTACTATGCAGGATTTTAATAACTTCCTTTAAAGAAATTAAAAATAAATTTTTATTCTGGAATGTATATCACAGTGAACTATATCATTTTTCTAAATACGACCCTGTCGTTCATCCCAGCTGACGGAATGAAAACGCTTACGCATGCTGGCAACCTAAAGAAAAAAAATACTAGTTATGTCAACGCGAACTGTCAACTTCACTTTCTATCGTGATTACGACTATATCACTGTTCAATTAGGCAATTCAAACCACGTGACATTCAAGATGGAGGGCGTGGCGGCCACACATGGGCCAAAAAACACAAAAAAATATCTAGTTTCTGCCTGAATTAATAGTTTAGGTACCTAGTCAAAAAATAGTTCATTAAATAATGAAAATCAAAGTTGTAAGCAAAACTGTATGCAAGATAATTTAAAATACGCATAAATACATATTCAAAACAAACTTGCTTGGCCGCCACGCCACATTGAATTTTCTTTTTTGACAGATGGATTGAATTGCCTAATAGGCTCGTTCAATAAAAAAAATTTAACGCGGTTTTTCACATTTTTATGGAGTATTACTCATATGTAGCACATAAGAAAAATTTCAGCTCAATTGGATAAATATTAGAAAAGTTACGCGTTTTTTAATATTAAAACAGTTATGCCTCGGGAATTCATTGCAGTGACGTCATAGCATCTCTCGAGTCGAGACAGGCTAAAGGCCGTCATACACGGTTTTGCATAACGCAATGTCAACTGACTTTCTATTGACAGTTTGGCACACAGTTTGCGAAACTATAATATTTAAAATTTTTCTTTTTGCATGCTACTTCCATAATTGTGCTTATAAAATATTGAAACTCAGGGAATTATTAAAATTTACGAAATGTGATTTGAAAGAAAAATATCAAACCTATACCAGATACATAAAATGCCAAACTAAAACTTGTCTAAACGATGCCAAACCAAAATTTGTCAAAACAATGCCCGTATTGTCGAAGTGACTGACGTACCAGCATCGCGACGACCGACGTGAGAGATGCAGTGACGTCACCGCGTGTTTCAAATTTGGAGTACTTTGATAATTTGTTTAAATATGAACAAGGGCTCATCAGAAAATTATGAAATTTTGCATAACTGCTAAACTCAACACGCTCTTTTAGAATATGTAATAAAAAAAAAATGCTGTACGAGCCTATTCTATGAATTCTACACGTCAAGATAGAGACAGGTATATAAGATGTTGAAAGAGTAGATGTTGAAATAGGAGGAGATGATACATTATAAGCTTTATTCTAAAAATCAATTTGAACAGTATTCGTCAAATTACTCAAATAATTTTAAAACAAACCCTCTTCCGAAGATCTAATTGTATTGAATTTTTTCTCTAGAATGCAAAAAATAAGGAAAAGCGAAAAATAGGTATTAATTTGTTTTGTACGAACATACTTCCAAAACGACAGTAAGAATTGTCATATAGTTTGGCAACACTTTGAAATTATGGCCACATTATCCACAAATCCTGAGCCTGATAACACAGATACAACTTTGTGTTGTCACCCTTTAGCGGGCAAATGTTGCTGTAAGTGCAATCTCAAATCAATGAATTTTAATCAAAATTAAAATTACAGACGTCAGGCTTCCTCAACGTATAATCTTAGCCATCTTACTCCATTTTCTCTTGCAAAGCAACTTCAGCAACAGAATAGTGCTAAATATAGCCATAGTGGAAATGGTCGAACCTGCAAAAAACGATCCTGATCATCAACCAGCTTGTCCAGAGTTTGAACAACCCAATCATACTCAGGAGGTAAACTACTGTAAAGTCATTCCACAGTAAATAATGGTTATTTTATTTAGGGTAGCTTCTCCTGGTCTCAAACGACCAAATCCTTGATACTCTACGCTTTTTACATAGGCTACACCCCGACCCAAATACCAGGCGGATGGTTAGCTGACAAATATGGTGCACGTTATGTTCTTATAGTTAGTGTATTGATAACTATTACTAGCTCAGCTACATTACCTGTCACAGTGCATCATTTTGGTTATATTGCGGCTGTGGTTAACAGATTGGTTTTAGGAGCATCACATGTAAGAACCATTATTTTTATCTTGGCCCTAAAATTAAATTTCAGATCAATAGGGTGTTTGTATTCCATGCACAGCATCGTTGGTTAGTACGTGGATACCGCCCGAAGAGCGGGCTACTTTGGGCAGTTTATGCTACAGTGGTATGAATTTGGGCGTCGTTGCGGGTAGTCTGATAACAGGAGTTCTAATGGAATTTTTTAACAGTTGGTCGCCTGTTTTCTACCTTTGGGGTGGCTATTCTGGAATCTATTTAATATTCCTTTGCTTATATTTGTTCTCATTTCCTGACGACCATCCTTTTATGTCCCAAGTAGAGAACGAGTACATACGGAGTGCCAGTGGTAGGTACCTATGTGTTAATTTATATTGACTTTTTTTTTCACACAATACTCATTTTAGGCTTGATTAATTTATCACGACAGCCCAAAAATACCCCCTGGAAAGCTATATTAACCAATGCACCTTACTGGGCCAATGTGTGGGCTCAATTCGCCCACCATTTTATTTATTTTACCATTATCACTTACCTGCCCACCTATATGAGCGATATTTTGATGTATGGCGTAGCTCATGATGGATTGTTTGCTGCCATGCCCTTCGCAGCTATGTATCTCTTCAGTTTAGTGCTATCCTTCACTACATCAAAAGTTTTTTTACGCTGCATGACTAAAAAGACCTTTGATAAATATTTTGGAGCAGGATGTAATTATTAAAGAAATTCCTATTTTGTAAAAAAAATACAAAATTTTGTTACAGCAAATGTTGTATCTTCGGCACTACTGCTAGCAGCAACCTTCTCAGAATGCAACAGATACCTAGTTAACTTTTTTTTTATTGCCAGCATGATAGTAAAAGCCTTTTATTACGTCACTTTACCTATCAACATTAACACTTTGTCCAGAAATTATGGGGGTCTATTGTATGGAGGAATGAATGCTATCAGTTCAATAAGTGGCGTAATTGGTAACCTCATTATGGGATACCTAGCAGCCGAAGTACGAATTGAAAAATTTGCTACCTAAGTAATGTATGAAATGGTGTTTTTTTAGAAACAATTCTTTGGCTGGAAAATAGCATTTTCCATAATGCTGGCCTTGTCTGTTGTGACTACCGTTGCCTTTTTTATATTTTCCTCTGACGAGCGCCAAGAGTTTGATTATTTAGAAGACGAGATAAGAGACAAGTAGCTTAGCTGATTTGTGTTGTATAATGTAGTTAATAAAGGAATTTGCTCACTTGCACTTGTATTTTCCCTTTTGTAGAAAACAAAACATCCACAGAAATTGAAATCCACGAAACTGAGAAAAAAAGTATGATTCACAATTTGATTGAAAAATATTTGCTGAAATGTCGACCAATTTCTCTGATGCGGTCGCGAAAATTCACAAATTCTTTGGGAAACTATACTTTTAGATAAATCCGGAGTACGGTATTGTCTATAAATAGCGCTTAGAAGTCAGTTAGTAGTATAGTTTAAATAAGAGTGTTGTTGAAGTCAGTTTAAATAACAATGTTGTTGTACACAGTTTGGATAAGTGAGTTTTTATAAAGTGATGAATGTATTCAATAAAAGTCTCTAAATGTGAAGTGAGTTTTAGTGGATCCGCCCTGCATGAAATAATATTAAACACTTTTTGCAAGGAACCAACCAGTTATGCAAAGACCTGAAGCTATCATTCCAGAAACCGGGAGAGTAGATTCTCATTGGATTATTTAATAGTTACAGCATTAGTTGATACAATATGTATTAGGCAAAATTCATCTTGATGAAACTCCTTCATTCGTTAGATTAAAGAATATGAAAGGATCAGGAAAGAAGAAATTTGAGACTTCTTCAGTCAAGGAAAGTATCTGAATAAAAATGATTCACGGTTTAAGTAATCAATGAAATAAGCAATATTTTCTGGTTTTGCAACCAGTATAAGCCAAAGTGCATGATATTGTTGAAAACGTCCTTTATTAATAACTGGTTACCTACCATTCTTAAAGGAAAAAATCAAAGATAAGAACTGAACTAACAAGCAATAAGTGTAAGATATTCCATTGCCCTCTACCGCCAATTATCAAGGTCAAGCAAACGCAACTGGTCTGCTTGCACCCATGTACAGGGTGTTTTTTTTATATATATTGATACCCCACCTATAATTGAATGTCAGAAATGTGAAATATTGCATGCTTCCAGCTTTTTTCAAAATGGATGCCCTATATTGGGTTCTATATTCTTGAAGAGAACAATTTCCTGAATCCAAAAATATATAGTTTGTCTATATTTGGTTGAGCCGGCTCCAACATATTTGGTTCTAAAAATTTCAAAAATACTATCAGAGAAACCAAGTAAATACATGCCTCAAATTTTACCTGCAGGTTTCACCTGTACAGGTAGAATGGTATGTCTATTATGGGATAGTATTTTCACAATTTATGGAGCCGAATATATTAGAGACTGCTCAACCAAATATAGACAAACTATATATTTTTGGAATCGGGGCATTGTGCTTTTCAAGAGTGTGGAACCAAATATAGGGCATCTCATGCAAAAAAAGCTGAAAGCATGCAAAATTTCACAATTGCGACATACAATTTCTGTTTCTGACCATGGATTCTAAAAATCTAACTAAAACTGTACAACTTTTGTATTTACACCTTTCTTCTACCTGTAAAGGTAAAGGCTGTAGGTCGGGTGTCAATATATAAAAAAAAAACCTGTACTCCAATGTTACCAGCAGTAATCAGTGCCATGCCCAAGCCTAATCATAACCACCAAAATCAAAACACAACAAAAACAAATCAAATTCGACATGAGCAGGTGAAGGCTGCAATACACGGGGCTCAAAGTGAAGTGCTGCAAAGGTTCATGTGATTCAGAACCTAACAAAGGAACAAAGGGAGAATTTTTGTCGGTTATAGGTACCGAAACTAGTTTCACAAAGAAAATTTGTGGAAATTAAAGTCAAAGGAAAATTGAAAAAGTTGGGGTTTGTGCAGGATTTGAACCTGCGACCTCCGCATTGCTAGTACGACACTCTACCAACTGAGCTAACAAGCCCGCCTGGTAGAGATCGGCGAATACATGATGAGGAGAATGAAAGTGATCATGTATTCGCCGATCTCTACCAGGCGGGCTTGTTAGCTCAGTTGGTAGAGTGTCGTACTAGCATGCGGAGGTCGCAGGTTCAAATCCTGCACAAACCCCAACTTTTTCAATTTTCCTTTGACTTTAATTTCCACAAATTTTCTTTGTCTAACAAAGGAAGTTGGATGGGAACAAGGATGATGCAGATGTATGACAACATGTTAAGGGCCCCACAGACTACGATGAAACACGATGGTTTTCATCGCCGCGATGGAACACGTCGTTCCAAAACCGAAGTGTGTGGTAGAAAACCGTCGTGTTTCATCTTAGTCTGTGGGGCCCTTTATAGACGAAAACCTGGTTTCATAGTAAGAAGAAATGAAAGCGCAAATGGTGTGCAGACAGTACCGAGTTTTGTGAGCCTCACGTGTCTATGCATCCAGAAATATATGCATTCATGAGAGTCACTAATCACTATTAGAAGTGAGAAGTAACCAGCTAAAGGATGCATGAAAAAGGGATCGGTGCAGTGGTCACCCGGTTGCATTTAGCCGTTCCACTATAGACTTCGGCACCCACCGAGGACTTTCATTTTTCATTTTGCTCTACTTAGTAGATTGTTAGAACGGTGTTCAAAACAGAGAGTGTTATGTCATATGCTTCAGTTGATTTATTTCAAGCTGCCGCCAATACGTGGGGCTCAGTGTGTTAGTGGATTGTGCAAACGGTGCTGAATCGAGAAGGGGAATGAATGTATGTAGGAGTGGGTAGTGGAATGTAGTTGGAGGTTATGTAATGTGGATTTGTTTATCGAATCCGCATTGTGCAGTTTTGTTGCGTTCTACTCAATAATATCCATAATAAAATGGAAAAGTTAATCAAAATAAATAATTTGCTTTATCGAGAAAGATTCAAAAGTGCGGACGAAGTAATTGAATGGCTACGAATTTACGAGGAACAACCGGAACTTCGTGGCACTGAAAAACTGCTTTAAAAACAGTATCCGATTCACACTCAGCTGGGTACCAATTTGTTTATTGAGTGATAATAAAAATACAATAGTTATTTTATGCAGGTCGGTTAAGTGAGCCCCCTCCTCCCCCGCTTAAAATTTTCAGATGAAAAGTTATCTATAATTTTGCTCTTATTTTGCTCAATTTTGCTCCATAAATTTTAATTTTGCTCCATTACGCTTTAGAGACTATATTATTCACTTTTTTTCCTTTCTGACTGTGGATTCTTATTCTACTAATTTTGCTCTATTTTGCTCCGTTATTGAGAAATTTTGCTCCACAACCGTTCCGTAGCCACAGACGTTAAAAAAATATTAATCAGCCCCCCCTCCACCACTTTTTTTCCTATCTGACAGTGGATTATGACCGTTATTGAAAAATTTTGCTCCCGAACCTTTTCGTAGTTACAGAGGTTTAAAAAATAGTATTCAGCCCTCCCCTCCCCACCTCTTTTTTCAATAACGGAGCAAAATTAATAGTATAAGAATCTATTGTCAGATAGGAGGGCAAAAAAGTAGTGGGGGGGAGGCTGATTATTATTTTATTTACAATCATACATGTAATGTTGACTTTACTGACTTTTAAAAAGTTCGAAAATGTCACTTTTTTGACTTTTACTTTCGGCCCACGGGTCGAAAGTTTACTTTCGGCCCGTGGGCCGAAAGTATATGAAATTGTTAATTATTGTATTTTTGAGTTTTAATCCAAATGAAAATTTCAAAATTCGAATGATTGTAAATAAAATAGTATACATATCTCGGTGAAAAGTTTCATTACTGTCTCGAGATTTCAGTTAGACCTCGGCTGCGCCTCGGTCTAACTTAAATCTCTCGACAGTAATGAAACACTTTCCACCTCGGTATGTAATATATTATTTTTAACCTCTGTAACTACGAAACGGTTGTGGAGCAAAATTTCTCAATAACGGAGTAAAATGGAGCTAAATTAGTAGTATAAAAATCCATAGTGAGATAGGGAAAAAAGCGGTGGGGGGGCTGATATTAATATTTTTCAAACCTCTATAGCTACGGAATGGTTGTGGAGCAAAATTTCTCAATAACGGAGCAAAATGGAGCAAAGTTTCTAGTCAGAAAGGTGAAAAAAGTGGTGGGGGGCTACCATTAACTTAGCCCCATCACCTTAAAATCGATATAGTCTCTACAGCGTAATGGAGCAAAACTTAAAATTTATGGAGCAAAATGCGGCAAAATAAGAGCAAAAGTATTTTACAATCCGAGACGGAAAATGCTTCCATTGCTGGTCAAAAGGTTAGAAGTTAGGTATCTAGTTGATCGAGACGCGTAACGTCGAGATAAACTAAACCTCGACACAGCAATGAAGTTTTCCGTCGAGGTTTATATAGTATTTTATTTTCACCCTCAATTTCTGAGGCAAAAGATTTTATGGTACGAAATAATAGTGTAAATTGGCCTAAGAAAAAATCAACTTTCACTTTTTTTCTGTCAATGTCATCAATAAAAAACAAGCAGGGAAATCGGGACAGAAACGGATATGCCTGCCTATAGGCATATACATTGCAGTCTCGATAAAATGTGAAAGTACAGAAATGTGACGCTTACAAGATTTTGAAAAGCCTGTCATGTCAATATTAAGCCGGTCCCAGACACTAGACACTACGTGTATTCGGCGAATATTCGGTATTCGGGTTTATTCGCGTAGCGTGTGGGAGGGTAACTTTGGCGAATATTCGTCCTTCGTCATTTTCCCGCCGATTGTCGGTAAACTAGCACTACGCTGTGATTTCGCACTGCTCCCAGAAGCTTCGAGGGTATATGCATAGTGTTTTGTCAGTTTATAGCGGTGTGCAGTGCCGCAAGGTTGATTATTGCATTTCTAGTTATTTTTAATTAAAATAGGAAATGGAGTGGACAAATGAATTAACGTTAGAATTTTTACAATTATTTGAAAATGAACCTGTCATTTGGAACCCAAAGATACCAGAGGTGTTTTCTGGCGTCTCAAAGTTTTGAAACATTTTTTAAAACTGGTTTAAAACAGTTTCACAATGACGTCATAACTTCGCGCGAGAAAATGTAGATTGGATTATATTTCGAAGCGGTTTGAACCAATTTTGTGTGAAATCATGGGTTCATTGCGAGATATACTATTTTAAACCTGTTTTGAACCAGGTTCAAAAAAGTGAACGCGAGAAAACAGCTTAGATCTGCCGAAAATGACAGAAGTAGCGGCGGCCACAATCTGCTCTTCATCAATGCCCATTGGAACTAAATAAAAGTCATACATGAAACGCCACTGAAAATCGACGGCCATCTGCTTGGAAACTTGGCCGAACAATTGTCAAGCCAAAGCTTCGCCATACCACAACGCCGTGTGGGAGACTATTAGGCAAATATTCGTGCGAATAACGAATGTTCGCCTATTCGCCGAATACACGTAGTGTCTGGGACCGGCTTTACATATGTACACGGTGGGCCAATTTGAACACTTCTAATTAGGAAACATCAATTTCTGAGCGAGAAACAACAAAATGAACCCCCCACTCTGAGACTCAAAGGACCCCGCACTTGGACCATTGAAAATAGGTTTCGGTCAAAATGTCCGAATTTTTTATATGTTGTAGTTCTATGTATGTAGATCGAATTTTGACAAAAAAATTGGGGGGGTCGAGCCGTTTCGGAGTTAGGGCCGTCCATAGGCGTGCGAATAAGAGTGCGATTGCGAACATCGCCATTCTAAGGCATAATTATTAGACATAATTGTTTAGAATATACTTACATGTAGCT